GGGGGGGGGGGGATATTCTTAAAAAAAGCATTATTTAATACAAAAAAATAGGAGAAAGAAACTTGTACGGTCAAGGGCTAAATTTGACAGTCGCGATCAGACACCTGACCAAGATCCGATGTCCTATGAGCGTCCCGATCATGTGAAATGTTATTTATTCCAAATTTTACATGCTATTCTCCCAATCAGCTTGGCTGTGTATACTTAATGATTACCAATTCAACTTTCTTACTGTTATGAATGGTTTTTTTAACAGGGAAAATTTGCATCTACACCAACGGTCCTGGTTACAGCAGAACATATAAGTGCAGACTTTAAGCATGATGCCGCAAGTTTGTGGGTGGAAAACGCAACCAGTTCCTCCTTTTACATTTGTCTTCGAGAACTACAGAATTATGATGGTCTACATGAAGATATCTTTGTGGTATATGTTTTATCCTCTATAAATATATCTGTCTGGAGTTTGCTAAATCTTGGCTAAAGAAATTTCAAGTGCATTTTAACAATTTGATATCTAAGTCGAATGAAAAAGTAGTTACAAAATACTAGCTGACAACTTTATTGCTGGCAACAGACGGTAAATTTCTCTCTCAAAAGTAACAGGATTTTGGCATAAAATAAAGAACATTTGAAACGTCCAGAACTTATAACGTTTTAGTCAGCAAAACCATGAGGCCCCATAGGCAAGTGTCTGCCGAAAACAGAATAGTAAGCGACAATCTTTGAGCACAGAATAGGCTTTCTAAGACAAAATCACCTAAACTAAATACTTGCGAAGCGTTTTTTTTTTATGCTTGGTACCGTAATCTGGTAACACGAGCTCAACCACATACCTGAATTTTGTTTGTCAACGCTTTCGGTAAATCACACAATATTAATTTCGTGGCAATCTCAGAACTTCCAAAAACCACTCGTAATATTTCCACATTTAAGACGGGCGAATCATCGTCAAATTACTCGGAAAACTGTCGCATTCTGCACATAAATCGTCGCTGGAAACTTTTCTCGACTTACACAGTCGATTTATTCAAGATCCTGGTTGTAAACCAGCGGTTGAAAAGGAGACATGGAGCCCCCGCCTTCCAAACAACTTTTGACGAAGACTTCTTTGGCCTGGTCAGAGATCAGCATCAATTTCCATCTCGCCGGATAAATTTCACCCCTAGAACCTCCTTTGTGAGGCCAAAGACTTTTTGCTGCCAACAACAAAGCTCGCAATATCCAATCTTTCCTTCTCAAACCCGGGACCAGTATTTCATCCGTGCAGCTAAATGAAACGAAATACGAGACGACGTAGCAGACTTAAACGTGAGACTTGTTCCTTCTTAAGGTTTCATGATGCCTTCCGGAAAGCTTTGCTTAAGGCAGTCAAAAAAAACTCTAAGAATGCCCACTAAGAGAGCCGTTTTCAGTCTAAAACGCGCGCTGATTTCAAACTGGCATACAGAGAGAATTATATAGGAAGTTATGAAAGGCCTTTTTTTAGGGGGAAGGTTGTAGGTTAATAGCCATTGAGAAACTCATGACAGTCTATCTAATGCAGCGCATTATTCAGCCAACAAATTCAACAATATGACGTTGTAATGACGTCAAATAACGTCATTGTGACAATCAAATTATGCCTAGACGTTGGAAAATATTTTATTCTGTGTAGTTTTGGTGGCCGTATCATTACAGGTTTTAAAGTTATAGAGGGGAGCCTCCAAAGCCAACCCACCCCGCTCACAGGGAGCAAAAAAAAAATAGTCTGAATAGGGTCAATGATAATATACGTGAAATGAGCTCTCGCAAGCATTGTGGATACAAGTTACAAATCGTTTTTCGGGCACATGGCTCAATTATTTTTACACGGGATTTAGGTATGAGATAGCAATCCATTTTTGATTGCTATTCCTCTTTTTAGAGTTGGATGGCCTTTGAAACAATCCACAGGCCCCTTTTCGCTGAGAGCAAACACGTGGATTTTCCAAACAACAATTCCGTTTCTACTAGCTACAATGGTGCATTTTGCAAGGTAAGACGCAACTTTACTTTTAAGCAGAAGAAAGCTCTATACCTTTTTAGATGGAACAGTAGACTTGCTACAAGTCCACCTCTCGGCGAGGCCGCGAAGCGGCCTACCGAGCGAGAAAGTCGCGAGAGGTCGACCTTCATTTCGCGCCATATTAAATCTGACGAAGGACTTTTTTTGAAAGTCTAATGGAACAGCAGAGAAAAGTGGCTATCAAATAAGTACATTTAGGCATTTTAAATCATCTTTACGGCTGTAAAACTCCAGATTTTATCCCAACTTAATAAACAGGAGTAAAAACGAAGAAAGTCGACCATGATTAATCTCACATCTAGTTGCCATATCATGTTATCATGATCTTTCAAAAGAGAAGAGATGAAAGGAACTTGTTTTATGAACGTTCATCACCTATAATATGACTATGTGTTGATCAGGAATGGATGGTGTTTCAAATTTTATATCAACAGCCTTCTTTTTATGTCCCTAGGACGTCCCATTTGCAAAGAATTACGACAAAGAACCCATAGTATTAATAGCAGCCGGTCACAGCTCAGAGGGCAACAATTTGAAGCCAATATACATGTCCGTGACTCCATGGATTGAGGTATTCTCAAATTAATTAACTAATATACAACACATTTTCATCTAAATAAGTAAGATCAAGCTGACGACCCTGTAGGAAATGCGCAAATGAGCTAAATTACACCATGGTCTGTTCATGCAGCCTGTTTATCAGTCATAGTCGCGCAGCGAAACAATCCATCTATTTGTCCATCTGTTATTCAAGGTCAGTTTCCCATTTTTTTTTTTTGCTTAGATAGGAATTCAAAATGACTCAGTTACAGGCGTTTAAGCGAACGTCTCTAAAAGTTGAGCTTAATCTCGTACCCAGATCTCCCACGGCCAAAAAAACAGAGTGAGATCTGGGTACGAGATTAAGTTGAGCTATTACTGTTCTTGTAAGCAGAATATATGATGCTAGATGATATGCTTATTTTACAGCACATCAAAACCAGCGAATTCCGCATTTGTCTCAAGGAGTTGTTCGCTGACCAGCATGATCCTGTGAATGTGTCCTATACAGTACTAGCAGGTGTGTTAGTAAATGATTAAAACAAATTTTCTTTGCAAAGACCTTCTCATGCCCAGCAAGCTTTGGTAGATGTCAAGTAAACTTAGAGACTCCTTGTTTCATATCTCCTTTAAGTAATCACCAGTAAATGCATTTTCTTAGTTCCTACTTACAACAAGTAACGGTTTCTATTTCCAAAAACTTTTCGGCCAGCTCGAACTTTTCATGGAACGAACCAAACTCTAATTTGAGTCGACCTAACTTCAGTTAAGATCGGCTGCTGGGTCAGACGTCGATCTTTATAGGACGCGTCGAACCAATCAACTGAATCAGATCAGTAATAAAACTATTTTCTCCCGAACGATTTTATATATATTATCGAACATGTTTTTTTTTTTTCTTAAATTTATTAGTTTAGTTCGTTACATGTGAAGATCGACGTTTGTCCCTGAGACGATTTTCGGACGCTCTGTCCGTCTGAACGTTTTGGACGATACAAACTCATTCAGACGAACTTAACTGAGCCAGACTTTGCTAAGAACGTTTCATGAACTTAACTCCCTAAGTTTGGTTCGATTTTGAGATAAATATTAGCGATAAAAAATCACGACGTTTCGACCTCTCCGAGGTCATTTTCAAGTGTATAAAAGTTCTCTAAATTAGCATAAATAAGTTAAAAACAAGTTATAATAGATAAAAATGTGGTGAACGCTAAAATGTGATAAAATATGTAAAAACGTAAAAAGTGCTAAAAATATTTATAAAGTCAAAAAACAATGGAAATAAAACAATGTTAACAAGAACTACTCTAAACAAATAATTTGGCGCGAATTGAATCGCACTGTTTGTTAAGCGTCGGTTTCAGTTCTTGGATCGAAAACATTTCAAAAATAAGACAGTCAAATTTGTTCTAACACTTTCTTAAGATTCTAAAACTTTGTG